TCTGTTTTAGGCAAAGGATTTTCTCTAAGCTAAGATCTTTTGAAAACTAAAGCCTAATATTTTATATCTGTAAAGAACCCAAATGTTTAAAATTGCAGCAGAAGGTTTGAGGTTGGATATTAGAAAGAACTTCTTGGTTTTTGAAATATTTGGAAAAGTTTTCTAGGGAGGAGGTTGTCTCTTTTCCATAAGGAATTGGTTAGAAACTATCCTTCCAGAGGAAGAAGGGGTTGAACTGACTTCTGGGATCTAGATTGATCAACAGGATGTAAACTTTCATTTGAGTGAATAATTGGGGGCATGATTAAATAAATGGTTGGGATCTTTCTAAAAGGAAAGGTTAGAGTGACATGAAGAACTAAAATAATTTTCTACTAAATTAGGTTTATCTAAGTGTGATAGTTCTGGCCGAAATGTCCACTTTGGAAATCTTATCAAACACTGGATAATGCTGAATTTGGATCTGAATGACTGTCCAGACTGTGATTTTTCTGTGGTGTTTAGGAGTTAGGGAAGGTTTTAAGGGGTTTCTTCACTGTTCAGTCTCTCCTTTGAGGAAGACACAATTTGTTAGTTCTCCTTCAGGCACTAAATATTTGCCTTACCACTAAATGTGGAGAAAGAGACGGGGCTTGGGAGCAGAAGAGAGAAGAGGGGTGGCAGAGCTCGCTGGAGGAGTCAATGGAGGATCTGGGACATTCCAGGCTCAGGCAGAGGGGATAAAGGGGGGCTCTAGAGGCCACCTTCTGCAAAGTAAAGGCATGCTTGTGACTGAGAGCACATTCTAAAAAGAGGTATAGTGGGCGAGCAAGTGCTTGCCAGAGACTTGGGAAAGAAGTGGGTAGGGAATTCAGTAGTGCTGTTTAGGAGACTCAGAAATTGTGCCTATGGCAGGCATGGTGGCTCATGCCTGTAATCTTAGCATTCTGGAGAGGCGAGGCGAACAGATCGTTTGAGCTCAATAGTTCCAGACCAGCCTGACCCTGTCTCTACTGCCAGCAAGACCCTGTCTCTACTAAAAAAATAGAAAGAAATTAGCTGGACAACTAAAAGTATATATATTAAAAATTAGCCAGGCATGGTGGCCATGCCTATAGTCCCAGCTACTTAGGAGGCTGAGGCAGAAGGATTGCTTGAGCCCAGGAGGTTTTTTTTGTTTGTTTGTTTGTTTTGTTTTTTTGAGACAGAGTCTCGCTTTGTTGCACAGGCTAGAGTGAGTGTCATGGCGTCAGCCTAGCTCACAGCAACCTCAAATTCCTGGGCTCAAGCAATCCTGCTGCCTCAGCCTCCAGGTAGCTGGGACTACAGGCATGTGCCACCATGCCCGGCTAAGTTTTTTCTATATTTAGTTGGCCAATTAATTTCTTTCAATTTATAGTAGAGATGGGGTCTCGCTCTTGCTCAGGCTGGTTTTGAACTCCTGACCTTGAGCAATCTGGCCCACCTCGGCCTCCCAGAGTGCTAGGATTACAGGTGTGAGGCACTGCGCCCGCCCAGCCGGCCGAGCCCAGGAGTTTGAGGTTGCTGTGAGCTAGGCTGATGCGATGGCACTGTAGCCTGGGCAACAGAGTGTGAGATTCTGTCTCAAAAAAAAAAAAAAAAAATTGTGCCTATGATCTGATGCCTCAGCAACCAGATAAAACCTAACTAAAGAAGACTTAAAATAGAGTACACCATGTCAAAGAAGTTTGGTGATCTAGCTCTTGCTCAGGCTGGTCTCGAACTCCTGAGCTCAAATGATCCACCCACCTCGGCCTCCCAGAGAACTAGGATTACAGGAATGAGCCACCGCGCCCGGCTCCATATTTTAATAATGTTAGTTATATTAAAAAACACGACTGACTCATACTATTTCAGAATGTGTATGTAAGGTTAATATCATACATTTAGAGAGTTCTCTATGGTTTATATTTTCTTGTTTTCTTTAATCCTACTAACAATGCAGTGAAGTAAGTAGTATTAAACCCATTCTTCTTCTCTGAGGTTCATACTCAGAGAAGTCAAGCAACTTGTTGAGAGTTATAATGCTAAAAAATGGCCAGGTAAGGGCTTGAACACAAGTATTCTGGCCCTAAATCTGGTACTCATTCCATTACTATATGTACCGCCCACAGTATAGGATTCTCAACCAGATCCATGATGATTTAACTAGTTATATATTAAGGCCGGCTTAGTGACTCATGCTCGTAATCCTAGCACTCTGGGAGGCCGAGGCTGGCAGATTGCTCAAGGTCAGGAGTTCAAAACAAGCCTGAGCAATAGTGAGATCCCATCTCTACTAAGAAAGAAAGAAAGAAAGAAAGAAAGAAAGAAAGAAAGAAAGAAAGAAAGAAAGAAAGAAAGAAAGAAAGAAAGAAAGAAAGAAAGAAAGAAAGAAAGAAAGAAAGAAAGAAAGAAATTGGCCAAGTAATATATATAGAAAAAATTAGCCGGGCATGGTGGCCCATGCCTGTGGTCCCAGCTACTCAGGAGGCTGAGGCAGAAGGATCATTTGAGCCCAGGAGTTTGAGGTTGCTGTGAGCTAGGCTGACGCCACGGCACTCTAGCCTGGGCAACAGAGTGAAGCTAGGCTGATGCCACAGCACTCTAGCCTGGGCAACAGAGTGAGACTCTGTCTCAAAAAAAAACAAAACAAAAAAAAACGAGTTATGTATTAAAAGAAACAACATCCAATTCATACTTTATCCTTCCTCCAACAGCAACAAAAAGCCATCTCTTCGTTTTTTTAATTTAATTTAATTTTTTCAACACCACAGGAGCCCAAATTGCAAAAAGAGCCATCTCTTATAGTGAAAAAATTACAATCCTGAATATTGTTTTAGTTCTTAAACTCCAACCTTTGATCTTGGGTTTGGCCTCCTAAGATTTGGGTTGAAGAGAGGAGACAGAGACATTTAAGGCCTCAGGAAAGAACTGTTAGATTGCTCCTGCCAACCCCCCAATGAAAGCAACTTACTCCACAGAAAGGATTATAATCTGAGGTTTAAGCATCTAACATAGGCCCATTCTGATTAGAATGGTCTCCCTGCCTTACATTCTCAGTGTGATATGGACCAACAACCCCCAAAGATAATTTCAGTCCTAAACATGTCTATTTTTTTCTCTTTGCTGTCTTATATGTAAGCAGATCATACAATCTAGGAAATAAACTTTATTTCACTCTCGTGTTAAGTCCACCCAGACCCTATCTAGTGAATTTAATTTAGTCAACCAAAAAAATCCTCTAGTCCCATAGATTACTCCTCCAGCTTGTGAAGCTTCTTTTAAGGAGGAGGAGCTTGGGAACCTACTAAGCCAAGTTGCTTGGTTCTCCCAGTCCTTTCTGCTGGAGCTGGGAACTTTGGGAAATTTTAAAATACCTGCTACACAAGAGAAGGTGGCAAGGCCTAGGGATGCATTGGATAGCATAGTGAATTTGGAAGACCGAGGCCAAAGCAATCACTGCAATGGACAGCATAGCTGGAGGCACTTTTGCACCAGCCTTTTCTTCCTGTCATTAATAAAAGACTATTGGTGACTTGGGCTGTTGTAGAGGGGATGCATTTCCCCAACTCCCAGACAGATCTGTGCTGTTTTATTAACTGATTTGAAATTTACTTTTTCCTTTAGACCTCAAATTGTTCTCTTCCTTAGTGGGGCAAAGGATAGGGTGAGAAGGTTCTTCCTGGGATGAGGAAAAGGTGGAAAGTGAAGAAGTTTCAGGTCTCTCAGGCCCAGAATAACCAGATCAGATATAGGCCTAACTCAGATTTGGGGTTAGAAGACAAATCCTAGTTCCCTCCACCCAAAGTTTTCTCCAAAGGTCTCAGCCTATGTGTAGGACATCTTAAAATAAGCGGAAAAAGTTGGGAGTGTCTGCAAATCCCTCTCCAAAAAAAGGTGAAATAGAAAGAAATAAGCTTGCTCCCATCTCAATAATCCTTTTCTCTTCAATCTCTCTGCCAGGCCACTCCCCCTTCCCCCTCCCCACCACCTCAGTTCTCCTTCCTGTTGTCTGCCCTCATCCCTTTGGCAAGTGAACATTCTCTCACTCTCCCCCATTACATCTCTCTTAGGGAGTTACCAGCTGGACCCCTTCCCCCACCTTGGAGCAGGTCTGAAGCAGAGTCACAAAGGAAAAGGAGACAGGGGTTCTGTGACATGCTTTGAGCTCTTTCCTCAAAAGAAAGAGGAAGCCAAGCCAGGCCCACAGTTATTAGAGAAGGGAAGGGCAGTGTGATGCTGGTGCCAGAATAGAAAGCAGGAGAGGGGACCATAAAGAAGGACAAGCAAAACCAAGGGGAATGGAAAACAGAGGATGGAGAGACACAGAGGCTGTGAGAGACACCTTTGGGGTCCTTTGGAGAGGGAGAAGTACTCACCCTACCCTTTTTGGGGTGGGGAAACTTAAGAATTTTGGAGGGTCCTCGCTGAACCTGTCCCACCTGCTTCCCCTTCCTCTCCTCAGCTTAGTTGTTTACAGAGATCCCTCCCTGAACTCTTGCCCTCCTGGACTTGCCGGAGCTCCAGCCCCAGGCCTCCGTCCAGGCAGACACCCTGACAGGTTACAAATGAGCGTGGGTGTTAGATTGCGCCAAGCTCTTGTTCTCAGAGTGTGTCCGGAGGAGGAGGAAAAAGAATCAATGGGCTCTACCTAAGAGCTTCTCTTCTAGTCCCTTCCAGGTCTAGGGTCTGAGAGAGTGAGGAAGGCACTTCCTGTTTTCCTCCCCAATGGACAGTGAAGCAGAAAGGGGTGAGATTCCACTCCAGAGCCTTAGAAGTCAGAGCCTCAGGGCCACCACACTGATTCTCCCACTCTGAGCAAACTCCCTTTATCCAGTCTAGAAAATTCACTGAAAATTTGAGTAATCTTTAAGATTTAACTGGTATTGAATTTATGGATTTGAGGCTTGGATTTTTGGTTGTGTTTTTGCTTTTTTGGAAGAGGATGAAGGGTGGTGACAGAGAGAGGAGTAGGAGGGAATCAGAAGAATGTAGGGTCTCCACTAGTTTTAAACACTTTGAGAAGAGAATAAAAATTCCCCTCCTCTTCACCCCCCTGTAAACATCACCTAGCTCTGCTCATTGTGGCTCTCTGGAGAGATATAGGGAGTTATTTAAGTCTGAGTGAGTGAGCCAGCTACAGCTATGGATGGCTAGAGAGAGGATAAATACATCTAGAGAGATGAGTTGATGGATAGGTAGGGAGCGAATATAAATATGGAGAAAGATGGACGAACAGAGAGATGGATTGAGACAGAGAGAAAATAAAGAGAGGCTGAGGGAGAGAAATGGATGTGTGAATGAGGAGAGAGTGCTTATACAGAGAGATGAAGAGAGGAATGGGGCGTTTCTCATCCTTTTCTCTACATTTCTGTAGTCCTGCCTTGCTCCGCGAAATGCCATTTCCCCACCCCTCACTTAATGAATTCTTCCTCTAGATTCCAGACCCTGCCTCTCACCCTTAGGTGTTTTTGCAGCCCCTCCTTTCACAGTCATCCATTTGGCCCAAGATAACATACCTCACCCTGCTGTCCTAGCCCATCAACCCCAGACAAACTGGGAGAAAGGATCATGGAGTAGGAGTTCTGGGCAAAATATGGAGGCTAGATTCCCACCTCCAGGTCTTGGGGGGAAGGTTTCTTTGAGGGGTGGGAATGGTGAGGGGCAGCTGGGTTGAATTTGTCCAAATCTAATAACCCAGGAGCCTATTGAAGGCCTTGGGGGCTGGGAGGGGAGGAAAGTCTTGAATATTCTTCTAACTTTTCCCCCCTCTCCCTCTGGTCCCTTCTTTCCAAAAGTCTTTGAAGAAAGATGTTTTTGACGCTTCCATGTCGCTCTCAGATGGATGGGCTGCGGGTGATTGAAGTGTCTTTGTCATGCTAATGCTTGGGGGGTGATGGATGGGCGCTGGGGCTGCCAAACTCTGGCCCGCTTTGCCCATTGGCCTGGGAGAGATCACATGTGCCCCCCCACCCCCACTCCCTACCCCCTTCCTAGGGGAGTGTTGGCCCAGGCGAGCTGGGCCAGGCCATGGATGCAAGCCTCAGCGCTGTGACATACTGCCGAAAGGTTGTAGGGCAAGAGGGTGTCTCCCCCAAACGGGCCGACCCTCCTGCGGTCTCGACGCATGGACTATAATAGGATGAACTCCTTCTTAGAGTACCCACTCTGTAACCGGGGACCCAGCACCTACAGCGCCCACAGCGCCCCAACCTCCTTCCCCCTCAGCTCAGCTCCAGCCGTTGACAGCTACGCAGGCGAGGGTCGCTATGGCGGGGGCCTCCCCAGCCCCGCGCTCCAGCAGAACTCGGGCTATCCCGCTCAGCAGCCGCCTTCAGCACTGGGGGTGCCCTTCCCCAGCTCCGCGCCCTCGGGGTACGCCCCGGCCGCCTGCAGCCCCAGCTATGGGCCTTCTCAGTACTACCCTCTGGGTCAATCGGAAGGAGATGGAAGCTATTTTCATCCCTCGAGCTACGGGTCCCAGCTAGCGGGTTTGTCCGACGGCTACGGAGCCGGTGGAGCGGGCCCCGGGCCGTACCCTCCGCCGCAGCCCCCTTACGGGACTGAGCAGGCGGCGAGCTTTGCACCGTCCTACGCTGATCTCCTCTCTGAGGACAAGGAATCGTCCTGCGGGTCAGAAACCAGCACCCCCACGGCCCGGACCTTCGACTGGATGAAGGTTAAGAGAAATCCACCCAAGACAGGTAGGGCTCAGAGCTGGCCACCCCCTCTCCGGGGCCCAAAGTGGCTCTCCTGCCCCTGCACCGAGATGGCCTGGGCGGGGTTATTCTTCAGCCAGGTAAGAGCAGGTAAGATAGAGGCAGGCAAGAGCATTCTCAGGTCAGGTGAAGTCTCCCCACCCAGCAGGAGCCCGGTCACGCCCAGAGGAAGTCTCCCTACCCACTCCATTCCCAGATCCGTGCACCCAGCACGGGCCCAGGACCTAGTGTGCTTCGGGGTCAGGGGTGGAAGTATAGGGGAGGTGGCTCCAGATTTGTGGATCACTATTGGGGTCCCCGGTGATCTGTGGGAACTTCGAGAACTGAAGGTGGACAGCATGGTGAATGGAGGCTCAGGGCTGCCCGGGAGGAGGGGAGGAGAAGGAGAAAGAGGTGAGAGAACTGACGTCGCCTTTCTCCCCGCCCCGCCCCTAGCGAAGGTGTCGGAGCTGGGCCTGGGTGCGCCCAGCGGCCTCCGCACCAACTTCACCACGCGGCAGCTGACAGAGCTGGAGAAGGAGTTCCATTTCAACAAGTACCTGAGCCGGGCCCGGAGGGTGGAGATCGCGGCCACCCTGGAGCTCAACGAAACGCAGGTCAAGATTTGGTTCCAGAACCGGCGCATGAAGCAGAAGAAACGCGAGCGGGAGGGAGGCCGGGTACTCCCGGCCCCACCAGGCTGCCCCAAGGAGGCAGCAGGAGATGCCTCGGACCAGTCCACATGCACCTCCCCTGAAGCCTCGCCCAGCTCCGTTACCTCCTGACCTGAACCTCACAACCCACGAGCTTCCAGGCACTGGAGCGCCCCAGTCCAGCCCTCTCCCAGGCTCTCCACAACCGGCCTCGGCTTCACTGCCTGGTGATCCTCTCCAAGGCCCGGACACCAGTTTAGAGCTGGGGGTGGGGGTGGGGAAACCTTTTTCTCAGATCTGGGTGGGGAACTGATGGCTAGGGACCCTACAGGCCCAGAGGCCTGGGAGGCACGGAACCTGTCAAATGTGGAGGGAAGGCTTTTCATCTGGGTATCAGCTCCCCCTCAACATGTGGGTGGGGGTGGGAGCCAGCCCCATCCTCCTGGATTCTCTTTTCCCTTCCAACTTTAGTTTATTCAGTTCAGTGCCTTTGAGCTTCAAGGATTCTCCTCATGAACTCATATCCTAACTTCCTCTTCTAGGCCCAGGACAGATGGAAGGCCTTGAATGTTCTTGTGTGGGAGCTGTTTGGGTGCTGGCATATTATTACCAATCCTTAATCCAGTCACCACAGATCTTACAATAGCACCAGCTGCCTTGTGACAGACCAAAAAGCTCCCCATCTAACCCTATTAACCCTCTCCTGGCACATCTGTATTGCACTAATGCAGCCTCCAGAGGTGGTTTTCTGACACCTGCCTCCTCTCACCAACGACCTCATCACTAAGTCACCAAAGTGTTTTGGAACTTGGTACTCCACAGACTTCTGGAACGCTGTGCAAGGCCTGCCCCCACCAAACCTCAACCAGGAAGGCGCAGGCACGCCCCCACTAGTTCCTCCCCTATTTATTGCCTCCCAGAAAACCCAGGACCCTCTTCCCCATCTCCACCCTACCCTTGGGGGCAGCCAAGGAGGCCCAGGTACTGTGAGGGCTCCTAGTCACAGCAAGCATTTCCCTGAACCGTGGAGGCACCATCCAAGTTTCTGAAAACCTGAGCCGCAAGCAAGCCGGGCTCTCTCTGTACCTCCAACTACCTCATTTCAATAAAGTCTGTGTTTCCTCCCTCTTCCTGCCTGCTTCTGCTCCTCCTTCTAGGGCTAGAGGAGGCCTCATACTCCATAAGCCCTGGGGAAGAGGTGAGGAAAGAGTGGTTGCTGGCTGGTTGGGTTGGAAAGAGCTGAGCTTTAAGATCTCAGCAGGATAAAGAGAAGGACTTACTGGGTTCAGGCCTAAGCAGAACAGGGCCCCAGGCCCCCAGGCCTAACAGTGTCCGTCCACTGGTCATTGGGAGAACTCAGAAAGACATGGAGGAAGAAGACCGGGGAGATCAAACGGTTCCCAGAGGGTCTTGAGAGGAAGACAGGAAAGAGGAGAAACAGATCTGTTTGGAGAAGACAGAAAGAGGGTGCAAGAGGAGGAGGAACTGTGGGGGGAAGGCGAAACAAACTACCCCTTGCCTCCTCCTCAACCCCCTCCGTCCCGCCCAGAGAAAGGCCTGGTTTAGACCCATGGATCCCAGACAAATTCCAGATTGGCATTAACCCCACCGCCCCACCCCAGCCCAGCGCCCATCCAATGACTCCGCGGGCATGTCGGGATCCGAGTGTCTGTGAGAGTCTGGCCTCAGCCCGCCCTCCTTCCTCCAAAATGCCTTTCCGCTGGGGCTCAAGGTGAACGCCCTCGCTCGGGGCGCTGAACTGCAGGAAGGAGGTGGCTGTGAAAGGGCCAAGTGGGGGGTAGGGTGCGGGAGGAGGGCGGATAGCCCGCGTGGGGGGGGAGGCTGTCGGGGATGGGAGGGAGAAGTCTCAGGACGGTCGGGGGGCCGGGAAGGGGGGTGGGCGGAGGCGACCGGGGTAAACTCCGATCCCGCGCTGACCTTTTTACCTCGAAGCGCCTCCGGGCTTTCCAAACAAGCTAACAGCACGCCCCGGGGGCAGCTATTGTCTCCGGGCGGGTCCCACTGGCAAACCTTTGGTCCGCGGAGGCGGGGGGCCGGGACTCAGGAAGCTCCGCGGCCGCCCACAAACCGCCATCGCTCACTCGCCCCGGTGCCATCGAGATGTCGCGGGCCTGCCGGCTGCGGCCCGGGTTTATTGATTCCGGTTACCCCGAGAGCCCATGTGCCCCGAGGGCAGGACAGCCTGAGGGGAGAGGGGAAGCGGCCACCCAGGTGGGGTGTCTTATTCACACTGCCATATCTTTAATTCTTGACCTTCCAAAGGAAGAGAGGCAGCTAAAAGGACTAGGAATATACATAAGCAACGTTGAGCATTTGCTTCCTAATGAAATTGGTGCCATTATAGGAGAGGCAGCGTTATCAATAATTGCACAGCCCAGCTGGAGAGGAAGAGAAGTGTGTTGCAAAAGGAAGCCTAGCTTTCCCAGAAGCTGATGTCTTGCCCTCTATCTTTTAAAAATAAATCTATTAACTACTTTTCTGCATTTAATTGAAATTGCCACCAAGCTTGGCTTCCCCAAAGGGTCACCTTGGCAGAGGGGACAAGAGTGAGTGTCTGTGGAAACAAAACTCCCTTTGCTTGGAGCATTCAGTGTGAGCCAGTAGAGCTTTCTGGTTGGGGTATTTGCGGATCCTCCAAACTTTAGACAAGTGAGCAAGAAAGCAGGGAGGAGGAGGAAGGTGCAGTGGTTAGAGGGAAGCCCACGGTCGGGAAGGATGGTGGAGCTGGGTTGCAGACTGGGGCTGGCAGGTCCTGGGGGAGGAGTGATGGAGGGGCCAGGAGGAAAAGGGAAGCCTGGCTGGCTTGGTTTTTGGTGGTAGCAAAAGGAACTATCAGATTCCTCCAGGGAAGGATGAGGGGCAAATCAGTTCTCTGTTAATAGGGGGTGAACTCAAAATAGTCTACAATGAATCTGAGCCTCCCATCTTCTTAGATGCAGAGATCCCGACTCCTCCCCACTTTGTACTCTCCTACTTGAGTCCCACTTCCAATCTGGGGCCCCAGGCAGGTCTACACTGAAGACATTTATTTGGAGAAAGAAAAGATCATTGTATATTTTCCTAGCATAAATGACAACAGGAGAGGATAGTAAACAAACAAAAACACATTTTGCTCCCATTGAGCTAAACTGATGGTCTTGTTAAACTTTCCCCAATAGAAGCCAAATTGCTTCACTCCTAAACTCCTCAAAGCCTTTGAGATTGCTGCTTTTTTCACCACCCTGAGGAAGGGAGGAATTATATTTACCAGGAGATCTGAAAGTACATTTTTTGAAAAATTTGAAAGCACTCAACCCCTACATCTTCTATTTCCCAGATCTCAAAAAATATCTCCAGTTTTGAAAATAAAAATCTTGAGAATTTTTTTTCCGTCTTGATTCTTCATAGAAGGAGAATTCACAGGGCTGGTTGAAAGTTTGTCAAGGTCTCTGAGGGGCGCCCCCACCAACCTGGCAGTCTCGTTAAGGGGGGCAGTCAAGCCTCCACTCCACCCAACCCTCAGTACCATCTGTTTCTCAGCCCAAGTGTGAACTTTTCCTCTTTCCTCTGCCATTTTCCTGGGCGTTTGTTCTCCAAATGTGAGGCTCTTTGATCTCCTGGACAAGAGAGAAAGAAAAAGAGATTTTTAAAGCCCTGAAGTTCTTACTTTTAATGTGGGTTTCTTTGTTGTGAATATTCCTTGTGCCAACACCACTGGGCTGCTGGAAAGGAGTTGGTGGGATGGGGCTTGGAAAAGGGTGTGGATAGGGAGGCTGAGGAGGAATTTCCAGATGACCAAACGAGGGAGGACAAAATGAGTCAGAGTGCAGGACCCACCGAGGAGTTGGGGAAGACATCCAGGAATGTGGGTTCAAATCCAAACCCCGACTCTCCATAGCCAAGTTGCCTAATTCCTCATACCTCGTTTCATTATCTACAAAATGGGAATAATAACATTTTCTATCTTATGGGGTTGATGTTAGGATTAAATTAATATCAATATGCGTAAAATGCTTATAACAGTCTCTAATAAATAAATGTAAGCTATAACAATTATTATCATTGTTAAAAGGAATATAAATATAAAAGGTTCTTCCCTTTTTTTTTTTAATTTTTAAAATGTTTTTTGAGACAGAGTCTCACTTTGCTGCCCAGGCTAGAGTGAGTGCCGTGGTGTCAGCCTAGCTCACAGCAACCTCAAACTCCTGGACTCAAGCAATCCTCCTGCCTCAGCCTCCCAAGTAGCTGGAAATATAGGCATGTGTCACCATGCCTGGCTAATTTTTTTAATATATATATTAGTTGGCCAATTACTTTCTTTCTATTTATAGTAGAGACGGGGTCTCGTTCTTGCTCAGGTTGGTTTCGAACTCCTAACCTTGAGTGATCCTCCCATCTCAGCCTCCCACAGTACTAGGATTATAGGCATGAGCCACCATGCCTGGCCTCTTCCTTTTCTATAGTCCCCAATCTATTCCAGAGCATAGCTTCACTATGCCCACTTCCTACATTCATATCTTGTTTGATTCCTGCTAGGTATATTAGTCTGAGGACAAATAGAAGGGATTCCCTTCCCAGTAGCTGAGAACACCTCAGGAGTGTTTGGCTGAGAGCGCTTCCTCTTTTTCCAGTCTCAGCCAACTGTAGAGGAGAAGAATCCTTGTCTCCCCTTTTCCTTCCTTTTCCAATATGAGAAGATGGACAAGAAGTCTGGAAGACACTTCAGGTTCCTGATTTAAGGCGGTAGAGGGCAAGGGTTCTGTAGTACAACTTACTTTTCAAAGTGTTCCCCTCTTGGTAGCTGGGTGAGCACACGCCAGTTGCCTAGTTCCCTGTGCTCCCATTTCTTTAGATGTACCATGCAGGATGCTGAAGAATATATGATGTAGATGAGAAATGCTTAGTACACTGCCTGGCACATAGAAATTCAGTAGCAATTTCCTATTTTAGATATTTGCATAAGACATTTTTCTGTTACTTTCTTACGCTGAGTTATTCTTGGTCTGGGCATGATGGAAGCAGATATACTCCAGCTTTGGCCCCCTGCATGCACTGGCAGACCTGCCTGGCACCATAACTTAGGACTTGCTGCTAGGGAATAAAATAATTATGAACTGAATTAAAGGGGTCAAAGGGACCCCATAGACTACTGGCTTACAGTAAATACAATATCATAATGAGGGATGCTCTTGACAGGACAGCCTCACTACATAACCCTGGGAGAAAATTCTCACTGTAGTCCATAAGATTGGCGCCCCCTGCAACTGTACCAGATTTTTTGTTGTTGTTGTTGTTACTCAGTCTTGACTCTAAGGACTTCCTTGCATGACTTTCCTTGTATGACTCAACCAGAGTATTCCAGATGCTCAGTTTTTGCTATTTCCCTGGCTCTCAAAATGCTTTCTATAATCATAGTGTGTCCTGGGTGGGACAGAAGTTAGAGATGTAAAATGCTTAATGTCCAGTGGTCACATAAGTACTGCAGTAATAGGGTATTGGGCAGGGGGGAGGGGGGCGGGTATATACATATATAATGAGTGAGATGTGCACCATCTGGGAGATGGTCATGCTGGAGACTCAGACTTGTGGGGGGAGTGGGGGAAATGGGCATTTATTGAAACCTTAAAATT